TAATTTTATATATAAAATATTTATAAGATAAAAGGGTCTAAACTCTTTTATATAAATATGAAATAAGATTACATATATGTGCGGGTATATATATATAAATAATACAAAGACCTTATGATATAATGTCCTTAAATAATTTAGAGAAGAGGTACTTCTAAATTTCTAGACAATACCAAAATGTTTGAGTACTACTCTGGAGATCAAGGTGATCTCTCCAGGTTGATTGGTAAAGAGGCCAAGTGTATTTCATTTTGCACATTTTAGACATGTTTAAGAAAAATACATTTGGAGAAAAAATTTCACACCATATTTATAAGATGAAAGAGTCTAACTACTAGTAATGTCTCAGTAAAGGGACCTGAAAGTTGTATATTCTTTGCCAAGAATGTCCAACATTTTGGACACTTTGACAAAGAGACCAACTAAGTAGATCCTCAGGAAGAAGCTGAGGCAGGAAATATCAAACAGCTTCTGACTGGTTTAAAATATATACATATATTTAAATCCCAAGGTGTCTTCACACATTAAACAGTCATCCCTCCGTACCCATGGGGGATTGGTTCCAGAACCTCCCAAGGATACCATAATTCAAAGATGCTCAAGTCCCTGATATAAAATGCTATAGTATTTACATATAACCTATGCACATCCTCTGTATGCTTTAAATCATCTCTAGATTACTTATAATACCGAACATAATGTAAATGCTACATAAGTAGTTGTTATATTTTATTGCTTAGGGAATAATGACAAGAAAAAAAGTTGGTACGTGTTCAGTACAGATGCAGGTTGAATCCACAGATGCAGAGCCCATGGATATGGAAGGCCAGCTGTACTGTGTTGAAATATGACTCCTCAAGAGAAACAGCAGAGCAGGAACATGTTCAAAGAAAGGACAACTAAGGCTGGGCTCAGTGGTTCATGCCTGTTATCCAAGCAATTTGGGAGGCCGAGGCAGGAGGATAGCTTGGGCTCAGAAATTTGAGATGAGACCAGCCTGGACAACATAGTGAGACCCTGCTTCTACAAGAAAAAAAAAATAATAATCAAAAATATTAGCCAGTCATGATGGTGTATGCCTGTGGTCCCAGCTATTCAGAAGGCTAAGGTGGGAGAATCACTTGAGCCTAGGAGGTCAAGGCTGCAGTAAGCCATGGTTGCACCATGGCACTGCAGCCTGGGTGACAGAGTGACCCTGTCTCAAAAAAAAAAAAAAAGGAAAAATGATTTATTTCCCTGGAAGTTAGGGAGATGAGCTCAGTTTGTGAATGACCACAGCATATGGGATTGGAACTTCAGCAGGAAGGGCGGTGTCATTGTGAGGAGCCTGGCCTGTGTTCCCCAGTCAAACCAAGTTAACGCCCTTGGATATTCAGCCTTCGTTCTTGGTCCTGGCCCAGCAGCCTCAGGCATGGACAGTGTCAGAATTCTTTCTCAAAGAGAGCATCCAGGAAAAAAAGACCCGGTAGCCTCCCTAGGCCTGACTCAGGCTGGTTCTCCCTCCTAGCCTGCTCAGTCTGGCAATCCTAACAATCCTAACAATGCTCCCCTTAGCCCTCCACTGAGGTTTAGCACTAACATCTGGACCCAGGAGTCCTTACTTGCCATCTGCCCTATCTAATTTCTGAGGGTGGTAGCATGGGGACACCATCCTCATGGTGTCCACGGCCTTCATTTCTGCTCACCCACCTGGTCATGTGCTGATGAGGCCAAGCAACCATGAAACCTCGGGTCTCGGCCAGGCACAGTGACTCACAGCTGTAATCCCAGCACTTCCGGAGGCTAAGATGGGCGGATCACAAGGTCAGGAGTTTGAGACCAGCCTGGCCAAGATAGTGAAACCCCATCTCTACTAAAAATACAAAAAAAAAAAAAAAAAGAAAGAAAGCAAGCTCGGGTCTCAGGAGTGTCTTGTCTGCTGTTATAATGTCGTGCCACCAGGAAGCCTTCTGACTGCTAGAAGAGAAATCTTGCCCCTGGTCCTAGTTGCACCAGCCTTTTCCACTTGGTTCTACACTGACCCTGACTACTATTGTCTTATCCTCACAGAAAGTTGAGGAAGCGAGCGGCCAAGGTCTCAGCCCGACACCCCAAGTCCCTTGGAAGGTAATAGGGCAAGAGCCCTGGGACCTCCTGCTCACCCCGTGGCCCCAGGAGGTGGATGGATGGATGGCAGCCTATCCATATCCATCCCAGAACCCAAACTGATGGATTAGGGATGTGAGGAAAATGGCTTTTCCTGTGGGGAGGTGAAGGGAGCAGGCATGGGGTTGGGCAAGCTTTGATCTTAGGGAACACAAGGAGGAAGTAATGTAGGAGCAGCTGAGAAGCCTGCCATCTGTACATGTCCCCCAAATAGCTTGTACTCCAACCTCAGCCACCTTCATTCCTCCTCCTTCCTGCCCCCTCCATCACTTCACTTAGTTCACCCACATTCCCATTCTCTCCCTTCTCCACCTTTCTTCTTCCCTCCTCCCCCTCCCAACTCTGCCACGTCGATTGACATCGCTAGATTTCCCATTACTGTTGCTGAATCCAGAGAGCAGCATGAGTTCCTGAAATGCAGTTTAGTGGTATTCGGCAGACGGTGGATGTGGAAAATCTGGCCGTCCTTCACTTTTCCTGTCCCCATGCTGCCCACGAAGGGTCTTTCCCAGAAACAGAAAAATAACCCTCTACCTTTCCTGTGCCACATACGTAACCACTACCTCTACCAACTTCCTTCTCCTTTTTGCAGACCAATCACCAAGCTTAAAGTCAAACCCAAACCCCGAGTGGGCAGGGGGCCAACCAAGAGGTAAATAAAATTCAGGTTGGGTGGAAAGGAGAGGGAGCACGAAGTTACCCGGCTGTGGCCAGGGAGGGAGGGGGTCCAGGAGGCCTGTGTGGCTGAAAGAGCTGACCAAGAAGAGGAGCAGCAGCAGCTCTTAGAAATCACTTTCCAGGGCTTTAACCAAAGTGTTACGCAAGACTGGTCCTTACCTTGGTCTCAGGAATGATGCTCGTCCCAGGATTTGTTGGTTTTTTCACTCACTGACTACCTCGTTCCACATGCTTACTTATCTTCCCCTGGTGAGTTCCAGGAGACAACCTGGTGCTTTTCTCTTTCAGACGCCATACTTGCCTCTCCTGTAAGAGGCTACATTTGCCTAAGGGATCAGTGTTCCCAAATCAAATGTTTTATTTGATTAGTTGTTGAAAATAAGTGCTACCAGCTTACTCAAGATGGAGTGAAACTCAGGGTCCCCTTTGGAACCTTTACCAGGAATGTGGACAGATTGACAGCCCCTGCCTCTCTGGCTCATTTTCCACAATTAGGCTCCCAGTTCCCTAATCTTCCTCCTGGGCTCCTTTAGAACTTGAAGTGGGAAGCTTCCAACCCCTGTGATTACATCTAACTTGTCTTCAAAAGGCAGTTTGCACATTAAAAGTCTCCCTGATAACTTCAACAGGGACTGAAGTATTGATAATTCATCCCTTTCTCCTCTCCTGTTCTCAACAAGTTCTAGTCTCACCCAGTGATCCCCTCATAGCCCTCATTCCCCAGGTTCTCTGGTGGTTTCAAAGGATCCCAGAAATTTGGGGATGTTCTTGTAGTGCCCTTCTAGCTTACGGTCACCTTTGCCCAACATGGCCACACTCTAGCCTTCCCTGACCCCCACATTAAAGTACATACTGCCATTTTTATTTTGTTCATTGTAGACAACGGGGATGAGGATGTTTAGGAGATAGATGTCTTTTTCCTGTGATGGGCTCTTTTTTACTTTCAGCCAAACAGGACTCTGGGAGAGTGCCTGATCTCTAGATCTGCAGGATCCATTTATCCTGAGCTTCCAAAGGTGTTCTGTAAAGTCTCCAGGCTTCCTTTGTCTGTTTTGTGTATAAACTTTTCCTCCTCCTGTGTCTTCCTAGCCAGTGGCTTCAAGTCATCATACTCCATCCTTCCTCTGACATCAGGTGATAGGGCACATTACTGCAATAATGCATGACCACATCAGCCTCACAGACCCATTCCACTGACACCAGACCTCATCTTCTTCCCTTTTTCTGTGGGCTTGACCCAACTGTTTTGGGCAGAGTGTACTTCACTCAGGCACGTGCCTCACTGCAGCCTCTCATTCTATTGGTATCGATAAACAAGTCCCCCCATTCTCTCAAACATCTTGGCACCATTTCCAAGCTTTAGCATCTATAGTTCAGTCCCATTATCCTATTCAGATGGCTTTGGGACACTGTTATGTTGAAATTGCAGAAGCATGGACTGCCTTTTTAAAGACTTACACAGCACAGGTCCTGGGATGTCTCTGCCATTTTGTTGTTCACATCCACCTCCTTTCTCTGGTCATTTATTCCCTCAGACGTTGACCTGTCCTGCATTTATACATCTTCATTCTTGCATATGCCAGTCCTAGTTCTTCCTGCATCTACCTGCTGGTCTGTTCTTGCTGCATCTGCCCCTCCTAATCTGTCCTGCAGAGTCTCTGGCCTCTGCGGAGCCATGTAGATGGGAGACTTCCTTAGTCCTTTGCATCCTGACTTACTCAGTTATTCCAGTCTCAGCATCACAGAAGGACTTGCTCACCCTGGCTTTTCAGGCTTCCTGTGTCAGCCACTCCCTCCTGGCCATTTCTTCCAACTGGAAAGTCCTGGTTTCCCCTTCCCTGAGGCCTTAGCCTCAGCCTCCTTTAGGGCCAGCAGCCTGAAACCACTTGGAACAGTTTCTTCCAGGCAAGTCGAGACTAGCCATCCTTCCCTTAGGGTTGTTCTACTGCAGGAGGTCCCCAAGGGCCCTCCTGTCTGGGTAGTTGAGGCTCCCTCAGCCTGGAAACGCAGCAGTCCCCACGTATCTCCGGAGGGAAACACAGAAGGGGGAAGAAGAGGGGACAAATGGTCACAAAAGGGTGGGGGGCATGGTGGAGGCTTGAAGTGGGAGGATGGTTGTGGGGCCAAGAGGCAGGAGCATTGTTTTACCCTACTGCACCTCACTCCTGTCCCCCCAGGCTGCTGGCCCAGCGGCAGCAACACTCCTTTGGTCTGCATGGGGTGGCGTGCGTGGGCACGGAGGCCCACCTCTCCCTCTGTTCCCTGGAGTTCTATCGTGCCAATGACACCGCCAGGTGCCCTGGGGGGGGCCCTGCGGTGGTGAGCTGTGTGCCAGGCCCTCTCTACGCAGCATCCAGTGGCCAGAAGAAGCAACAACAGTCGAAGCCTCAGGGGGAGGTGTGTGAGACAGTGACTATGACCTTTCCCACCCCAGGTGGAGAACCCCTAGCCTGGCAACCCCTGATTAAGCACAGCCCTGACCTTTGAGGACAGAGAGGAGCCTTCCAGGGGGTGGGCCACAGACCTGATACCACCCACTCCCTCCCACCAAAGTCTCACTCATCTCCTAGGTGCCCTCTCCGTGCAGATGTTGCCATTTGCCTCTGTTGGGCACTTCTCTGTTCTGTAGGCCCGTGTCCGTCTAAAGGGCGGCGCCCACCCTGGAGAGGGCCGGGTAGAAGTCCTGAAGGCCAGCACATGGGGCACAGTCTGTGACCGCAAGTGGGACCTGCATGCAGCCAGCGTGGTGTGTCGGGAGCTGGGCTTCGGGAGTGCTCGAGAAGCTCTGAGTGGCGCTCGCATGGGGCAGGGTGAGGCGGCATGGAGGTGGGAGGGAGAGGGAAGGAGGTACATGCTCCTGGGGGGCACATTCCTTCGGAAGGCTAGGTGTCCCCTGGGCAGACAGTATATACTTAGTTACAACTTCCTGATCTTTGCCATCCGGTCCTAGGCATGGGTGCTATCCACCTGAGTGAAGTTCGCTGCTCTGGACAGGAGCTCTCCCTCTGGAAGTGCCCCCACAAGAACATCACAGCTGAGGATTGTTCGCATAGCCAGGATGCCGGGGTCCGGTGCAACCTACCTTATACTGGGGCGGAGACCAGGGTCAGTCATCCTCTCCACCTTGGTTGAGGTCTCTTTCATCCTATCCAGGCCTGGCCTCCAATCTACAGTCCAATGGCCCCCAGCCCGTGGACTGGCCCCTGCCATCCTGCAGCTCCCACCTGACCCATCACTTGCTAGCCCATTATGTGCCTCTGAGTCATGCTTCAGCTACATCTATGTTACAGACTCCCACTACCTCACCTCAAAGCTTCCTCCAGCGCTTCCATTCTGTGTCACTACAGATCCGACTCAGTGGGGGCCGCAGCCAACATGAGGGGCGAGTCGAGGTGCAAATAGGGGGACCTGGGCCCCTTCGCTGGGGCCTCATCTGTGGGGATGACTGGGGGACCCTGGAGGCCATGGTGGCCTGTAGGCAACTGGGTCTGGGCTACGCCAACCACGGCCTGCAGGTGAGTGGGAAGGAGAGGGGAGCCGAGAATGTTGTCTCAAAGCCTGTGTTTTGGGCAGAGGGCTGAGGAATGAGTCCCTTGGCCCAAGATGCTGGATCCTGGGCCTTACAGAAACATCTGCATATATCCCCAGGAGACCTGGTACTGGGACTCTGGGAATATAACAGAGGTGGTGATGAGTGGAGTGCGCTGCACGGGGACTGAGCTGTCCCTGGATCAGTGTGCCCATCATGGCACCCACACTACCTGCAAGAGGACAGGGACCCGCTTCACTGCTGGAGTCATCTGTTCTGAGAGTGAGTGAAGGAGGGGGTGATGCATGCCAGGGAAGGGAGGGTCTGGGCCACCCCTTTGCTGGGAACGGGGGCTGTAATCTGGAGGGGCACTTGTTCCCCATAAAAGAACCAGTTTCACCAGGCAGACGTGGTGGCTCACACCTGTAATCCCAGCACTTTAGGAAGCCAAGGCAGATGGATCACGAGGTCAGGAGTTCAAGACCAGCCTGGCCAACATGGTGAAACCCTGTCTCTACTAAAACTACAAAAATTAGCCAGGTGCGGTGGCAGGCGCCTGTCATCCCAGCTACTTGGGAGGCTGAGGCAGGAGAATCACTTGAACCCGGGCGGCAGAGGTTGCAGTGAGCCAAGATCACGCCACTGCACTCCATCCTGGGCGACAGAGTGAGACTCTTTCTCAAAAAAAAAAAAAAAAAAAAAAAAAAAAAACCACAACCAAAAAAAATAAAAAAAAAAAAAAAAAAAAAAAAAAACCACAACCAAAAAAACAGTCTCACACACTAGGGAGGGATGGAAGCACCCCTCTCTGTGAAGTCAGCAGTGACTTCTAACACCCTCTTCTTTTATCGGTGCAGCTGCATCGGATCTGCTGCTGCACTCAGCATTGGTGCAGGAAACCGCCTATATCGAAGACCGGCCCCTGCATATGTTGTACTGTGCTGCGGAAGAGAACTGCCTGGCCAGCTCAGCCCGCTCAGCCAACTGGCCCTATGGTCACCGGCGTCTACTCCGATTCTCCTCCCAGATCCACAACCTGGGACGAGCTGACTTCAGGCCCAAGGCTGGGCGCCACTCCTGGGTGTGGCACGAGTGCCATGGGTGAGAGGGTAGGGAGTCAAGTAGAAAGGCAAGGCCACGGGGATGGGGCAAACCTTCTGGGGGCAGAGAAGGAAACAGAAGTTCCCAAGTTCCCTTCTCCCCACAGGCATTACCACAGCATGGACATCTTCACTCACTATGATATCCTCACCCCCAATGGCACCAAGGTAGCTGAGGGCCACAAAGCTAGTTTCTGTCTCGAAGACACTGAGTGTCAGGAGGGTGAGTTGGGGCCTGAAGTGGACCACATGGTATCCATCACACAGCCTTTCCTTACACTGACATATGCCAATCCCTCCAGATGTCTCCAAGAGATATGAGTGTGCCAACTTTGGAGAGCAAGGCATCACCGTGGGTTGCTGGGATCTCTACCGGCATGACATTGACTGTCAGTGGATTGATATCACAGACGTGAAGCCAGGAAACTACATTCTCCAGGTACCTGGAGTCTGGGGCTTCCAGATGGGTGACTGGGGGGAGCGTTAAAGACACCTTTGAATTTGAGGATTGTTGCTGGGTTAAGTGACCTTTTTCTCACTCACAGGTTGTCATCAACCCAAATTTTGAAGTAGCAGAGAGTGACTTTACCAACAATGCAATGAAATGTAACTGCAAATATGATGGACATCGAATCTGGGTGCACAACTGCCACATTGGTATTTGATGGGAAGAGCAACCCAGGAAGATTAGGCGATGGGAGGGAAAGATGTTCATTCTCTTTTCTGTAACTTGTTTCTGCATCTTCCCACCCTCCTCTGGAGCTCTCAGTCCCTCCACTTGTACCCATCTTTCTCCACAGTGGGTCTGTCTTCCTCCCTCTGTGCAGAGCGCCTCCCAAATTGCCTGTCCACTCTGCAGGTGATGCCTTCAGTGAAGAGGCCAACAGGAGGTTTGAACGCTACCCTGGCCAGACCAGCAACCAGATTATCTAAGTGCCATCGCCCTCTGCAAACCACCACTGGCCCCTAATGGCAGGGGTCTGAGGCTGCCATTACCTCAGGAGCTTACCAAGAAACCCATGTCAGCAACCGCACTCATCAGACCATGTACTATGGATGTGGAACTGTCAAGCAGAAGTTCTCACCCTCCTTCAGAGGCCAGCTGTCAGTACCTGTAGCCAAGCATGGGAATCTTTTCTCCCAGGCCCAGCACCGAGCAGAACAGAGCAGAGCCCACCACACCACAAAGAGCAGCACCTGACTAACTGCCCACAACAAAAGATGGCAGCAGCTCATTTTCTTTAATAGGAGGTCAGGATGGTCAGCTCCAGTATCTCCCCTAACCTTAGGGGGATACAGCTTTACCTCTAGCCTTTTGGTGGGGGAAAAGATCCAGCCCTCCCACCTCATTTTTGACTATAATATGTTGCTAGGTATAATTTTATTTTATATAAAAAGTGTTTCTGTGATTCTTTAGAGCCCTGGAATCAGTGCTGGTGGTTTGAGGGACCTGCCCCCACTGGTTCATTTAACCCTCTGTCCCGGCGCCCTCAGAGCCTCAGCCAGGAAGGCAAGGAGGAAATCAGAGCAGGAGCCTCATACTCTTGGTGATCTATTCATTCTGTGACCTCAGGGGTCACATATAAGGTCAGTGTTTCTCGTCCCCGCCGGATCTGCACTGCCAGCTGGGATTGGGTTCGAACAGCTTCATAAACATCTTCAGCATTGTGTACCATCTGCCCCCCAATGGCCAAAATCACATCACCAGGCCGCAGACCAGCCCTACAGAGAAAAATGGACAGAGAGAAAAGAAGGAGTACAAAGCCTAGTTCAAGGATACATGCACACCTCACCCATCCCCATATCACACTGCAGCCTCTCCCTCACCGGTGTGCAGGGGAGCCCAGGATGACTTTATGGATGAGTACACCATGCTGAACATCGGGAAAGCTTGGTTCTCGAAGCTGTAGTTCAGCAAGGATGCTGAAAGTACACAGATCACCCTATTAGCCAAACCCAGGCATTCTCCCCATCCTGAGTTCCACCTCAAGTCTCTCATCAACACACTGGCAAATAGATGGACAGGACATGCGCTAGGTACTACAAAATACAACGGCAACTCACTTTCTGTCTTCTAGCAATAAAGTGCAACATGTACATAAAAGATGTACACCACATGAGGGCACCAAATGACAAACAGTATTAAATCAATAGCACTAATGTCATTCTAGAGTACTAAAAGAAGCTTTAAGGGGAAAAAACTTAAGCTGAGCCTAAAAGGATGGGTCCGATATTAACCATATAAAACAAGAACAGCATAAATAAAAAACATGGGAGTAGGAAATCAGGTTGGCTGAGTATTCATATAGGAAGGTATTACAGCCAGGTCTAGAAAGTTGATTTACAGACAGATGGAAAATGCCCTTAAATGCCAAGTTAATGGATTGAAGGCTTGAAATCAAAGCAGTAACAGGATGAAATCAGTCTGACAGGTGTACAAAGTGGAGTGGGATAAGAAAGTCAAGATGATGAAGGGAGACAGCTCTTGTGATTATTTCAAGTGTGACACAGTTCATTTTAGATAAAGACAGAAATGAGAACAAAGCTCAATAGAGGTGCCCACCTCTGATTACACTGGTCACATTACATGTCACTATCCCTAAAGCTCATACCTGGGACTCAGGGTCAGCATCATCACCCCAATGTAGCGCCGCTGGGACCCACTGATTCCAGAGGAGGAATCTGTGACAGAGGGACAAATAAGCCCCACCCAGCTACATCCTTCCTTCCCTGCCCTCTTCTCCCAATAGACCACCCTCCAGGAAGTCCCAATGAATGCCCCTCCCGTATTTCCCCATAAGCCAGGCTCACTCTTCTTTTCCCCACGATGCAGAAACTCTCGAAGGCGATCAGAAGGAATGGCAAAGGAGATTCCAGCTGTGACCTTCATGGTGTTCACTCCAATCACCTCTCCATCCTGCAGGGATACATCCCCCAGTTCCCTAGCCCAAACAAATAGTAGGGGATGGGGGCACCCGAACAAAAGTAGCAGCAAGTGTTGGGGAGATCCAGTTGGATGTTGAGAGATAGCCAACAAAGAACTGCTCAGAAACTTGACCAAACATCCTTGAATTAGGGAAAACCTACCCTTCCCACACAGACCTGGGGCTGGGATTCTTGGAAGGAAGGATGTCTCACTCACCAGGTTAACCAGGGGACCTCCAGAGTTCCCAAACTGCAGGACAAGGAGAAAACATGAAAGAGATCTGAGGATTCTAAGTCTGGGGGCATACCAGGATGTAGGTACTTTCTCCAAATTCTCTTCTTTCTCAGCCCATGAATGAGTGGCCACATTTTTGCAGCCTAAGCTCTGTATATAGGCTCATCCACCATATATCAGTTGGTGCTTGTACCACACAGCCTCTCCCCACTCCCCCATCATGTGTCATTTCTCTCCTATCAGGACGCACATCAATAGCTGCATCCGTCTGAATGTATTCCACATTGGTTTGGGGGAGTCCCAGGTCTCTGGCTGGACGCTGAGCAGAGCTAACAATGCCGGATGTGATCGTGTTCTGCAGTGCAAAGGGACTTCCCATGGCAACAACAAACTCCCCTTGCCGGACATCAGCTGAGCGTCCCAGAGGCAGCGTGGGGAGAGGCTCCTAAGGGAGAATGGGTATAAGAGACCTGTCATCTGGAGATGCGAGCAAACAAGCAGCTCCAACCAGACCTGGCCTACCCCAGCCCCCACCTTAGTCTGAATCCTCAGCGTTGCGATGTCTGCCACGGGATCCACAGCTGTGACCACGGCCTCATACGTGTCGCCGCTAAGCAGTCTCACACGGACTCTGCGCCGATCAGCCACCACATGGGCGTTGGTGACAATGAGCCCATCGGCAGCCACCACGAATCCTGAGCCGTTCGAGATAGGGACTTCACGGCCCAAGAAAGGGTGCCTGGAATGGAGGGAAAGCACGGATAAGAGGAGGCTCTGACCCCTCCTACCCGCCCGCCCTCCAGCCCGTGGCTTCAGTGCCTCCCGGTCTACCCCCATTACCGGTCCAGGATCTCGATATAGACCACGGCAGGTGCTGTCTTCTCCACCACATCTGCGATGAAGTTGTACTGACTCCGGGGAGAAGCGGGCGGCGGGCCAGGGACGGCGGCGAGGACGACCGGAGGACCCCGACCCCCGCCCCACAACAACAACAGCACTGCCCCCCCAGCGCCCAGTGCCACAGCCAGCCACGCGCGCGAACGGGTTCCAGAGTTCTCTGAGGCCTCCCAGGTCCTGGTATCTGGGGTCACCGCAGTCAGTTGTGCCCGGGGACCCGGGGTCCCAGACGTCAGACATGCTCGGGGTTCAGGGACCCCAACACACAACCGGGCCCAGAGACTGGGGGTCCCATAAGTCACTCGGGCCCGGGGGTCAGAAGTTCCTGACGTCAGCAGGGCCCGGAGGTCAGGGGTCAACCGGGGTCTCCTCCCCCAGCGAATGCCCCCCAAAGCCCGCCATGCCCGAAGGCTCCAGCCTGCACCCCGCCCCGCCCTCGGCGCAGCCATCAGCTCCGCCTCGGCTGCCTCCTCGCCCGCCCTACTCAGAGGCGGCACCCAGGACGCGAGCAGGCGGACAGTAGGACGCGGGGCACGCCGGTACCTGAAGTCCTCCAGAAGTGCACGTCGGGACCAGGATTCCGGGAGGCCGACTCCTCCCCGTCCCGCGAATGCCGGGAATTGTGGTCTCCGTGGGACGCGAGTTGTGAGACGGCCCAAGGGGCCGCAGGGTATGCTGGGACCGCTAGCCCTTCCGGCGCGCCTCAACACTTCGGGTCCTGTCACCCCGGGCGGATGCCCAAAGACTCCGCCTTCCCAGGAGCCCCTGCGGCCGGGCGCGAAGATGGCGGCGGCGACGGCTGGGCGCTCCTGAAGCAGCAGTTATGGAGCTTCCCTCAGGGCCGGGGCCGGAGCGGCTCTTTGACTCGCACCGGTAAGAGACCCGGCGGGAAGAGACCTACCCCTGCGTCCTCTCGGCCTTCGGCGCCCGACCACTTCGCCTCTCGCCCCCAGGCTCCCGGGTGACTGCTTCCTGCTGCTCGCGCTGCTGCTCTACGCGCCGGTCGGGTTCTGCCTCCTCGTCCTGCGCCTCTTTCTCGGGATTCACGTCTTCCTGGTCAGCTGCGCGCTGCCAGACAGCGTCCTTCGCAGGTTCCGACGCGGGCGTTTGGGGAGTGTCAAAGCTGGGCCTGGCCCGAGGCCACACAGTCACCACCGCCTGTGTCCCCAGGTTCGTAGTGCGGACCATGTGTGCGGTGCTGGGGCTCGTGGCCCGGCAGGAGGACTCCGGACTCCGGGATCACAGTGTCAGGGTCCTCATTTCCAACCACGTGACACCTTTCGACCACAACATAGTCAATTTGCTCACCACCTGTAGCACCGTGAGTGAGAGCGAGGCCGAGAGCGCCACGGGGCGGTTCCCTGGGGCCCAGCTGAAGGCCCCCCTGTCCCACTCGCGTTCCCCATGGAGGATACTGAGCCTTACCCCTAACCCCGATCCTCTACCCCACATGTCATTTTTTTTCATTTTCCTCAATTTTTTTCTTCTTGCTTTCTCTTCTCCTGGTTCCCAGCCTCTACTTAATAGTCCCCCCAGCTTTGTGTGCTGGTCTCGGGGCTTCATGGAGATGGATGGGCGGGGGGAGTTGGTGGAGTCACTCAAGAGATTCTGTGCTTCCACGAGGCTTCCCCCCACTCCTCTGCTGCTATTCCCTGAGGAAGAGGCCACCAATGGCCGGGAGGGGCTCCTGCGCTTCAGGTGGGTTTAGCACAGGTATCGGGTGCCAACTGGGTAGGTGGTCAAGCTTGTGGGCCCTTGAGTTTTTACAACCTTCTTCGGCCCTTAGCCCCCAACATCTCTAGTTCATTTCCTTTCTGTCCACTTTTAGTTCTTTCTCCTGAATGCCTTCTTTCTTCAATTGTGTGCTTGTAGAGTTTGACAGTTGCCTGTTTTAAGGCACCTATGATCTGCTGACTAGCCTGGCTGGATTCCCATCCTACTTTCTCCTTCCTCTTCTAGTTCCTGGCCATTTTCTATCCAAGATGTGGTACAGCCTCTTACCCTGCAAGTTCAGAGACCCCTGGTCTCTGTGGTGAGTGTGTGTTGAACAAGGAATCTCTGGGGCTTGGAGGGGAAGTTTCCCATCCCTGGCCCTGGCTTAGGCCTCACTTCATGCCCTCCCCTCAGACGGTGTCAGACGCCTCCTGGGTCTCAGAACTGCTGTGGTCACTTTTCGTCCCTTTCACGGTGTATCAAGTAAGGTATTATTAACTGCCCTCACATTTTGGTCGCTGGGGAGAGGCTCACCTCAAGGTCAAGGAATTAGTGGCCTCTGCCCTGTCCATTTGTAGATCTTTATATCAGAGTTCTACCACAGAAGCAACACAAAGTATTTACAGTATTTACTATTTTCCCACCCTCACCATGCAAAGAGGTACCAAAGCGGGGAATGGTGACAGCCTCTACCCTGGGTGCCCACAACATAGCCCTGGATTGTTTTTTTTTTGCAGGTGGCTTCGTCCTGTTCATCGCCAACTAGGGGAAGCGAATGAGGAGTTTGCGCTCCGTGTACAACAGGTGGTCGGGTGCACAGGCAGGGTGGAGGTGGGGTCCCTACTTGGGAGGAGAGGGAGGAAAGCTTGAGATCTTGACACTTCCAGTCTTCCAATTCTCCCTAGCTGGTGGCCAAGGAATTGGGCCAGACAGGGACACGGCTCACTCCAGCTGACAAAGCAGAACACATGAAGCGACAAAGACACCCCAGATTGCGCCCCCAGTCAGGTATGTGGTCTCTATACATTACAGCTTTGGAGTTTTTTGTTTTTCACCCTACTGTGATTCCTCCCCTTTTCCTGTGCTAGTTAGCCTCTCCTAGTTCTCTACTTACCAGAATTTCTTTTTTTTTCCTTTTTCCACAGCCCAGTCTTCTTTCCCTCCCTCCCCTGGTCCTTCTCCTGATGTGCAACTGGCAACTCTGGCTCAGAGAGTTAAGGAAGTTTTGCCCCATGTGCCATTGGGTGTCATCCAGAGAGACCTGGGTATGGGAAAGGGTGGCCCCACACCGGGAGATTGGACACAGGGAGGAAAAGTGGGTTGTGAAGGAAGAAAGTGAGCAAGGAGTGGACTCCCTTCTCTTTTCTCCTCAGCCAAGACTGGCTGTGTAGACTTGACTATCACTAATCTGCTTGAGGGAGCCGTAGCTTTCATGCCTGAAGACATCACCAAGGGAACTCAGTCCCTACCCACAGCCTCTGCCCCCAAGGTGAGACCCAGGAAATGGTCAGATCCAAGTCTTGCGGTGAGTTGGGGGCAGGCTACATACTCCCTTATCCCTGACCTTTCTTTTTTGATCCTGAGACCCTAGCATAGTGCCTCTCTTGCAAAGTAGGCATTCGATGCGTGTTTAATGATGATGACTCCGCAAGCCCTCTGACATTGTGATCACCTCAGTTCCCCAGCTCTGGCCCGGTGACCCCTCAGCCAACAGCCCTAACATTTGCCAAGTCTTCCTGGGCCCGGCAGGAGAGCCTGCAGGAGCGCAAGCAAGCACTATATGAATACGCAAGAAGGTGAGGGGGTTAGAGGGCAATGAATAGGTTGGGGCAAATTGGAGAATGGAATTATGGAGCTACTATGGCAAAGCCTGAATAATGTCTCTCCCTATGTCCCACAGGAGATTCACAGAGAGACGAGCCCAGGAGGCTGACTGAGCTCAAAGGAACAGGATGGCACCCAGAGCCGCAGGACGGAGACTGGGGGCAGCCCTCACCCAACTCACAACAGGCTGGATGGGTGGGTGGTAAAAGGGAAGGATGAGGCTCCCCCAATATCACATTAAATTCATGGTTTTCATTCAAGGTGTATGTTGTCTCTCTGGGTCTCAAAAGCCCTGTGAGTGGGTTCCTTATTCCTTGGCTTGGGGGGATGGGGGTGAGAGTCTTCTTGTACATTTGAAGGGGGTAGTCAGACTGCAACTGTCTAAAATCAACTCCTCATGCCAAGCAATGAGTGATAAATTAAGGAAGTGTAACTGAACTGAAGACCCAGCTTGGGTGATCAGCCCAGGTTTTGGACGAAGCTGCTGCAAAACTACAAGTCCCAGCATGCCTTTCACAAGCACACTACACATCATCTGTAAAATTCACACATGCTCAGTGTGGTGGCTGGAGCCTGTTTTCCATAGGTTCCTGACTAGGTTAAATAAGGTGGAGTAAATAGCCCCACCCCAAAAGCAGGCTTCAGGATTTGAAGTTTGAGCCTAGCCCTGAGGTAGAGCCGGAATTTACCTTTGTACTTACACGGTCAGGGTTGGTGGTGACTACGTGGGTCTGGAGCTGGCTGCCGTGCTGACACGTCCTAGAGCTGCAAGCAGGTTTGAATCCAGGATCACTTGGACTGCTGTTCCTCTCCCCACCCCCTATATTCTTTATCCTTTTCCCTTCAGGACTTTCCCACAGGTTACTAGGTCTCACATAATTTCTACTGCCCTTGAGGACCCCTGCCTAAGTAAGATTTCTACTACCTGCCGACAGTACTAGTATCAGGCAGGTTTCTACTACCTGACTATAGGGACTGTTGACTAACTCTCAGTAGCCCCTTATCAAAATACCTAGCACTGTTTCCTGGCAGGAAATGCTGGGAAGGGTGGGCCCCAGAGCATGATCAACTGAAGGTAGAGGTTAAGGATCAGGGCTGAGGTGGGAAGATGGTGTCAGTCACCAAATATGACCTTACTGACTGCTCTGCCTTCTGCAGGTCCTGCCAGAGAGCCACCATGGCCTCTCAGCCTCTCAGGCTGGCAGAAGAGTATGGCCCAAGTCCTGGGGAATCTGAACTGGCTGTGAACCCCTTTGATGGGCTTCCCTTCTCTTCCCGCTACTATGAGCTGTTGGAGCAGCGCCACACCTTGCCCATCTGGGCTGCTCGCTTTACCTTCTTGGAGCAGTTGGAGAGTAACCCCACTGGAGTGGTGCTGGTGTCTGGGGAGCCTGGTTCTGGCAAGAGCACCCAGGTGTGGTGGGAGTTGTAGGGGCAGGCTGATTCTGGGAGTGGACAAAGGGAGGAGCTAGGGAATTGGCCTTTCCCTGGGCACAGGGGGTACTGGACTTCGTGGGGTCATGAGGAAGGTGAACAAAGAGAGATGGGATGGGTTAGGCTGGCCCAGGAGGCTGGTGAAAGACCAGGGGACTCCCCAAATATAGAAAGATTAAAGTGGCCATAGTTCCCTGAGCACTTCTGACTGAAGTCCTACAACTTCCTCACTGGTTGTCCTTCCCTACTTCTATCCCAGATCCCTCAGTGGTGTGCAGAGTTTGTGCTGGCCAGAGGGTTCCAGAAAGGACAGGTTACTGTCACGCAGCCCTACCCTCTTGCAGCCCGGAGCCTGGCTCTGCGGGTTGCTGATGAGATGGACCTGACCCTGGGTCATGAAGTTGGATACAGCATCCCCCAGGAGGACTGCACAGGGCCCAACACCCTGCTCAGGTGGGGGCCTCTGCAGGCCTTACCCAAATCTAATTCCCCTCACTCCGTAGAAACAAACCCATTCCTCTGGCATCTCACCATACCCTCCCTCAGCCCAACTCACTCTTTTTTATTTTATTTATTTTGGAGACAGGGTCTCACTCTGTCACCCAGGCTGGAGTGCAGTGGTGCAATCACAACTCACTGCAGCCTCAACCTCCCGGGCTCAAGTGATCCTCCCACCTCAGCCTCCCAAGTAACTGGGATGACAGGCGCATACCACCACGCCTGGCTAATTTTTATATTTTTTGCCATGTTGCCCAGGCTGGTCTCAAACTCCTGGGCTCGAGTGATCCGCCCACCTCGGTCTCCCAAAGTATAGAGCATGAGCCACCGCGCCTGACTCCCACTCACTCTAAATTGTGTGTGGTACAATGGCTAAATTAAGCCCTTGAATCCCAGCCAGGGCCTCAGACATTCAGCCTAACTCTCATCAGAAAAATGTCACTTCCCAGTTGGAGTATACCTTGTGAACAAAGTGTTCTCAGTGGGGTTGTGGGGTCACAGTTATGGGTCCACAGGCTCAGGAAGTCACAGCATATTTTTCTGACCTTCAATATCAAAATCTACGTCCCTTGGGGAGAAGTTCCCCTGAGCTTGTGTGG